CATGAGTCTATAACCTACGAGCAAGCCGTTACTTAGTAATAAGGACGGAGTAAAAAATATAATTCTGGTAAAGATAAAGCATATAATAATACATCAATATACCTAATCTCAACTTATTTAAAGTGTTTCATTTGTCCAGTAAATATAAATATTTCCTGATGCCATCTTGGACTTGTGATTCTTAAATTTCTACAAAACTAGTCCACGATGGTCTGAGTTTATTTAATACACACTCTAGGGGAGAATTGAAGCCCAAATACAAATCCTAGTCGTGTCTTCCACCGTTTGAACAATCAACCAGAACACTAAGGCACAAAAGCATACTCTGTAGGAGCCATAAGTTATTTTCCTTGGTTAGTTCAGCCACAATAGACTATAATGCAATAGAATATATGAAGACCAAGACGGTGTGGCCTTCGGTATGGTAGCAGTCTCCTTTTGATCTATAAAAGTAGGTTGAACTCGTTTTCGTAACTTAATCTTGCTGTCAGGGTGACTTAGTTGAACGCACCTTGAGCGAAGTCCTCTGCCATAGTAGTTATCATAATTTCCAGCCATTTTATTTGCATTTTAACTTACCTGTCAAAATCATGGTCCCGTAGTATGTCATAATCAAAACTCTCATCAGTGCGTCCTGCTACATATAAAATATTCTTTGTGGATCCTTCTCAGACACGATCCTAGTAAAATCATTAGCGAACGAGTCATGATGAGATTCAATAATGAGGAATGGGAGAACAAAGATGGCGGTATAAGTGGATGGGCCATATCAAGTTGGGTTGAGAAAAATAGATGAGGTACTAGAAGGCAGAACAAAAAATAGAGGCGAGGAGTGATGTCATAACGGTTGAACACAAATTGGTCAAGGGGATTGTCTTCACTTGTTACTTTGATAAGTTGTAACTCTGTGCTTACGATAGTGCCTCTCACTGAAGATGCCGACTACGATGCCAGTAAACGTTTGAAAATGTACCCAGCCAATGGTTCAATGCTGAAAATCATGGATACTATGGCAGAGGACATAGGACTAGGTACGTTCCACAAGGTCTCCTTAACGCTCCGACCATGTTGCGAAAATAAAGTTGAACCAACACTATAAAGCTAAAGTAGACTGCGAATAAACAGAAAGCCACATCATCTTGGTCTTCATATCTGCAATATATAAGTTAGTTTAAATGTATAAGTCCAAAGATAAACACACCTTCGACAAACACCTTATAGGCTCTGGCAGTGGCTTGTCTGTCCTGTGGCGGTAAGGCATTCAGACATACAATCACAGGCAGAGGAGCACCATTTCTCACGGAAACGGCATCGCGGAAGTAGTCAAACCGATGTGCATAGTAGGTAATGAAGCCAGAAAATAGACTTGCCAAACTAGCTCGGTTGGAAGAGCGCAATTGATGCCAAGGCAGTTCAGCTAGCAGATCCAGGGCACCAGATAAGCCGGGCGCCTCATCAAAGAGGCGCTGAAAGGGTATGAGCATGAAAGCGAGTGTCATATCAAAGGGGAGGTGAAATGCGTGTAAGAATGGATGGTCACAAAAGTGAGACAGTGCAGAGAAAAGATAATAATTAAGATAAATCCTAAGTCTCTCTATTGTGAAAGCTCACTCTGCCACCGTATCTACACCTACTCACTCGTAGGTCTGACTGGCACAGTCAAACAGTATCTATACTTTAGCCTTAACTCATTCTTTAACAACTTTAGTCCAGTACAAATATCCTATACCTTGCTCAAAAATGACTAAGATTCAGTCTAATTCATCGATTAGATTTGGTATCGAAACTGAATATAGGCTTCAAATTGACAGCATATGAGACATTGTGTCAAAGCCCATCTTATTCGCTAGTATTGGAAATCGTAGCACTAAGTGACGTCACGAGAAGTCAGGTCATAAAAGTTTGATAGTAATAAGATAGTGCAATGCTTATGATCAAATACTTACTTTAAAATTGATTTCCCTACTGATTAATTCTCTTAGCAATCAAACATAATCGATTCAGATTGCATCCATCACGCTTATAGTGCCGCCCTCGTAGGACTTGCTTTTCTGACATGTTTGCCAGATTTATAATAAATTCCACCTCGTTCTATTTAAAAACCACATCCAAAATAAAATAAATTCCTCAATTCTTTAGTTTCGCTTCAAGCATTTAGCCAACTACATTGTTAAAAGTTGATAAATTTTAAGCCTATGGTCATACCTGAGAACTAGACCCTCGCCCCACTCATACTCCCCAAGCAGCACACATACAATGGGTCAAGGGGGATTGTTTCTAAAAAAAATAATTTCAAAAAAACACGGTGAACTAGTTTAGGCATTAATTTCGTAAAGGCTGTTTGACCTTTAGAAGTGGGTTGACCTCGTTGTCGCAACTTGGTCTTGTGTTCAGGGAGACTATGTAGAACGCACC